CATCCACAAATAAACAATACGTAACTGTTGGATTTTATTAATAATTTTTTTTAATATTAAATAACAATAAATAACTACAACTTGATATATTTTTTTCTTTTGTAGAAGAGACCACCTTRGAAGAAAAGATAGATTCTTTGATCAAAAGATATGATTATTTAAATGATCACAAACAGTTTATATAAATATGTGGTTCATTAGTTATTTTAGAATATATAAAAATATTCCATCAAAATTCTACTTTTTTTTATCTCAATTTAAATACTAAGAGTTTGTTGAGTGCTGTGTTTGGAGTGCTACACTGCATTTACAGATTAGTAATTCATTCTATCCTGAGAGACAATTGTATGTATCACAAATTCGTCTTAAAGTAACAATGCTACTGTTGGGTTCAAATTGTTCAATTTCATGTTTTTTTTTTTTAATTTCTCTACATTTTGCTCTAACAGTAACAATATCGATAAAATATCAAACATATTTTGACATATCGACTTAAATTTTTTTGATTTAATAATTACTCAATATAGTATCAARTTCAGATTACCAGAACGAGCATAGCTAGCATAACTCAATGGTAAAAACTAGACATATCTACTTCTTGAAATTTGGAGGTTTAAACTTTGGTAACCACTCATTTGTTATGCTAAACAASTGTATATACATGGTACCAAAGAAGAGGTTTATGCATTTGAATCTTTGAAATTATATTTTCTTCTTAATTAATATTAAAGTGGAGTTGTCCCTTCTTTAGTTTGTTTTCAGTTAGAAAAAAATTAAAATTCTAAAGTTTCCTCTTTGATTAGCTATCCCTAAAATGTATAGTTCGACGGTTGCTTATAATTCTTATTATAAATATTAAGATTCTAGAGTACACAGCATCTTACTAATGTGGAAATGTGAAGATGTCGGTTGTGATCCATAAAAAATATACAAATCATACTAAAAGAAAAAAAGATATACTAATTATTTGACTCCTTTTTGTTAATATTTTATTTTGTGGTTATTAATTATATTATACCTACGGTTGATAGGGGCGTTGGAATCCAGCCTTGGAAGGCAAGGCAGCAATATTACCACAAAACAGTTGCTTTATTTTCACGCTTTCTGATTTTGCTTATATCTTTTCTCTCACTCCTTCAGTCCCACGTCACCCGTCTACTATTTTCCTCTGGGGAATCAACCACGCCCATCCGATGATGATCGGACGGTCCATCACTTCCGTACGTACGGGAACTGTCCAGTGTGCTGTACTCACCCAACCACAACCCAGACCAACCATCGCGTGACATCTGTCACTTTTGAATCATTCTTTAATCAGTGGTCAACGGGGTTTCCCCTTTCCCGGTCCAGCCATTTGATTTTTTACTGTTACTCTATTTTTTTTATTTTTTAATTTCTAGAAGTTTGATTTGTTATCCTAATCCCTTACTTACCCCTTTTACTTGGACAACAAATATCCCTTTCTTCAAATTTATTTATTTATTTAAAGTCGTTTTACCAAACAAAAGTTTATCCCATTCCCAACCACTTGTTTCGGGATTGAATGAGTTTCATTTCATAATTTCTTATTTAATCAATATGATATCGTTTCTTTATTTTTAGTCCAATAGATTTGTATGTGATTTAGGAAACATATTTGATTAGGTGTTTTTTTTTTTTTTTTTGCAAATCTGCAAATTCCATTATGATAATGAAGAAAATACTGCAAAGGACTCACGATTTCCTTTTCTATATTTTCGTTCTTTTTTCTTTTCTTTTTCTTTTTTGAAAAATATCATATATAAAACTCACCAAAATACTTTTACAATTACCAAACGATACAAAATAAACAAACTGGGTCTTGTTGAAGACAGAGTGAAGAAACTCCCTCCCTCAAAAACTGGTTGTGTGTTTTTTATTTTTCTAATTTACTCCTCTAAAAATTTTCAAATTTTCAAATTTTCAAATTTTCAAAATTGAAATATTTTATATATTTAAATTTAACACTGCAGCGCACCAAAATATACCAAAAAAAAAGAAAGTAAAATCAGGCCAATGTCACATTCTGTGAACACCAACTTTTTCCCACTCAATGTTTGATATCTCAATTCACAATATTTTGATACACAACATTAATTCTCCCTTTRACSTGGCTTTTTCAAGCTTCAATTTAACATACTTGAATCCTTGAGGTTAACTTTCACCAACTCAATACTTCGAATAAACCAAACATATATAACATAACAATATCAAAACTAAAATAAAATAAGGGTATTATTAACCTTGAAGGTAAATAATACCTCTAAATATTTATTAGAATTGACTAAAATATAATAGAGAAGCCAATTATTACAAAAAGTAATTTATCAAACAAACTCAACAAAATTGTAATTATTCAACTAACTAAGTGACTCATTATAGTCTAATAGATATAAATCTTAATATCTCGTATATGTATCTAAACATAATCTAATGTTTCAAACTTAAAAGATTCAGAAAAATTTGCAAACATAAACCATTCATGTAAAATTCATTTAAAATCATAGCAATAATTTAACTTAGAAAGCAAAATTATGAAGTACAAAATTAGTTGCAGACATAAAAAATCGGGAAATAAAATTTGGTCAGTAGATTGGTGCAATGCAAAATTGAAAATTATTATATAACTAAAGTATTTGCAGAATTGCAGACATAAAAAATCGGTAAATAAAATTTGGTCAGTAAATTGGTGCAATGCAAAATTGAAAATTATTATATAATTAAATATAACTTAATTAATTAAGGGATCTATATTTCATGAAAAAGCTGTAGTTCTAAATCCACCTCTTCAAAAAAAGGAAAACGAAAAAAAAGATGTTATAAGAATAATAATGATGCGTTATAATAATATTTATTATTTCGTAATATAGAAATTAGTTAGTTGAGGCGGTGAAGCARACATGTTCTGATCAGGTGAGAGAGGAAAACATGGTGAGAGGGTTTTGCGGAGAAATCTGCGGCGCCGCTGTATGGGATCCGAACCCGAATCCCTCGCGTTCTGTCTTCAAGTTTTTCCGAATTTGGCGCCACTCCCATCAACGGTCAAAAAGCGGTGCCGTCGACACACCCACAAAAATTGGCGGGACTCCCCATATTTTAATATTTCAAAACCAACAAATAATAATAAAATAAAATCTCCAGTGGGCCCCACTGCYCTCGACTTGGCTGTCGACTACGTGTCAGCGGTCCTTTCCACAACTCCCACCAGGGGTCCCTTCGTCGCTCCAAAAGCCACGCCACACTACCCCAAGGGTATTTTAACTTTTCCCCTTCTCAAAACTCTTTTTTTTTTCCACACACACACACGAACAATTCTTAATTTTTCTCTTCTTTTAAATTTTAAT